GACACAAGGTGGGCTCACTAGAGCAACTTTATTCACACGCTGCCGTTTCTGAGACTTTAGTGGGCTCTCCACTATCAAAGCGTCAACTATAATTAATCAGACAGAACTGGAATTTTATATTGTAATTGACCATACTGGCAAAACAGTTACTAGCTAAAAGCCCAGACACGTGTTTCGACGGTATTCTGCCACTGCTTAGCCCAGCTGCTACGGGTCCGGCTCATCAGTGGGTTCCTCAGTCTTCCCTGTTTGCTTTCTGGTTGATATATCGGCAATGAAATTTCAGCTGTTTAATTTGCTTAAAAATTATTTTCTATGCTGGGCATCGACCGAAATGTAATATGTATCTATTTTGGTCAAACTCCATCAGCCACTGCGGAATAACTAAGTGATATACATATGCTGCCAATAGGTAGACAGTAGTATAACTGTAGGTTGTAATTTACCATACTGACCACACAGATAATAGCTAAAAGCCCAGACACGTTTTTCGCCGCCATTCTGCTGTTGTGTGAGACAGCTGTAGGGGATATGGCTCATCAGTGGGTGCCCCAACATCACGTGTGTGTGTGCTTTCTGGTATATACTCCAGTTTGAACAAGGCAAGGATCACTAGATTAGCAGAATTTAATTTAATTTCGTGGCCTATCATTCAGCTGCAGACGGTTGTTGCCTATTAATAAGAGAATTAACTGCCCAATTAAGTGTCAGCCTCCAAGGCTGAAACTTGATAGGAAAAGAGAATAGGAACAATTAGTCATAGATGTGGGCGCATGGTGAGGGAGTAGAGGACGGGGGGATGCAATTGTCACAGCATGGCAGTTCATGTTAGTGCATGTTCATGAAAGCCAGTAGGAAGTTGCTAAAATGGGGGGGGGGTTGGGGCAGGGGACAGGATAGCAGTCAGTCCTAAGGGTGGCGAGGAGGCGTAAGCGGGGATTAGTTTATCGATCATTACCAAGGAAATGCGAGGTCGATCACGTAGTCCAGCTGCTTACAGAATTCTGGTTTTCTTCTCTGTATTGCAGCGGCCTCCGCAAAGCTAGGAGGCGCCCGGTCGTCGCCCGAAGTACTTCCTTAAATGCAGTCGTTTGGTCGACTGCATGGCCAGTGTCCACTAAGCGTTTCGTGATTGAACTCTTGGGTACTTTATGTTCCGTCCTGAGCAGCCACTTCGGCGTGTGTTCAGCTGACCGCGTTGCCACGAAATTTTATGAAGTCATTAAGTTCTGCTTTTCTAGTGATCTTTGCCTTG